AATCAAAAAGAAGCATTATTGAAAAAAAGAGGAAAAACAGGACTAAATCATAAAGCAATCTGGAGCAGCTTCCTCATTTTTTTCTAGAAGAGTAGCAATCAGCAGGGCAATAGGGCTATGTTTACTTACTGTAAAAATTGTTTGAACCATAAAATGAAGTGAGAACAGTTATAAAAAGATCACAGTGCTGAAAATATTCAGTTGATAAGCCTAAACTATACTAGTGGCAGGAAGGCCTGCAAGGCCTGGATGATGAGGTGATCACCTTTAGTCTCTTACATGGAAATGCAGTATCCCATTCTGGACATGTTAAAAGAGGCTAGTTTTGCTGATCTGGGAATTCTTGTCTGGGTTCCCATCACAGAACAGCAAAGCAAGTCAGCCGTATCACTCAAGAGGAGGTTGCTTGCTTTCACTGCAGGAGAAAAGTAATTTGACCAAACCAACTGAAGATGCTCCGACGAAAAACTAATTTCACCAGACTAATTGAAGAAACTCCAATAGACAACATCAAGGAGGGGTCAGATGGTTGAACCATAATAATATAGATTTTTTATTTCATATTTTGCTTGAGCATTACTGCTATCTTTGCTTCGTCAGAGGTAGGTGTATAAATAATAATCGTTTTGTATCGATCCATCGATCAAACAGACGCTCCTGGGCGTAATTCTTACTCCCGTGCTGCGGTGGACCTAAACCTGTTTTGCCCTCCTACCTCGCTTCCTGGTTATACTCCCTGCAGCAGTGTGTCGCAGTGAGCTTGACGCAGAAATTTTTGATTTATGCTCAATATTGAAGCGTGGTCTGCGCTATACAATGTGGGTCCAAATACGGCCGAGGCAATGAGGAAGTGGGGGCGAGTTAGTCTGCGCAATGGAGGGATATGACTGTGAAAAATAGCGGTGATCCACAAGGTCCAGATCTCAACAATCATCAAGGATAGGTCAGAACCGCACAGAACCAAGCTGCTGCAAAACAGACCTTTTGCAACACATTTCTCTTGAGTTTCAGAAATTATAGAGCCAGACTGGACAACAACAATGCCCTGGGTGTGAGCCTGAGACAAAGAGGACCTCATCTGTGAGGGTCCTCTTTTCTATGGATCATAAGACTCATTATCACTGTACAATCCTTATAAGTAATGAAAAATAATAATTAAAGATTTAAATATGTAATATATATATATATATATATATAT